GATCTTTATACTTAGTCTTCAAATTTAAAAGAAATTGTGAATTTAGTTTATTCTCTATCTATTTCTGGGAATGCCAAAACCCAGAGATCTGAAATTTGACTAAAAGTATAATGATCACAAAAGCTAGAGATATTTTTTAAAGACTCCCTTTAACATCTTAAATATTAAGAAAATTGACAAATACATTAACATCTTTTAAGAGTTATTGTATAAGTCATTCAGTATAAAAAGGTAGATGAAATAAAATTGATCAAAGTGCACATGCAAGAAGCAAGGTAGAGAAAACTAACTGACTTGGCTTTGAAGAGCAGAAGCAGCTGTGGCACGTGCATGAGAGTCTAAATGAAGAAGTGTAGTCAAGAGAGCAGAAGCAGAGGAAGGAAAATCCTTAAAGTTTTCATCATAATTAGCTTTGTAATGTAGTGGTGGAAATAAGCTCGTCGTTAGCTTCCTTCTCAACCAATAATCCGCAGAAGGTGTACCACAAAGTTTGAAGATCATGTGAAGTTGTTCAACCTACATGCACAAAAAGTTTAAGTCTATTTCAATCCTATAAAATCGACTAAAAGGTGAAACTTGTCTTAGTTATAATTGATATGAAATTTCTAACACACTCTCTTATATCGAAAACATCATGCGTGAAGGTTTGATAGTAAATGACACAATATGTCCAAATCTCAAACAAGATAGACTCTTATGATTCTAATACCATAATAAGAAAATGAGTTTAATACTCAACCCTATAAAACCAGCCATTAAGATGAAATTTGCAATCACTTATAGTCGATGTAGGATCTCCAGTATTATTAGTTGCTTTAGTTAATTGGGAATCTACCAAATGCATTCATGCATTAATTCAAACAATTCATATTCCATAAATCAGACTTAGAATATGCAAATGATATTTTAACCATCCAATCTGCATCCAACATTGTGATTTATGATTTCTTGAATATATGAGCTAAAACATGTCACCATTTTCTTACAATGCAAGTGAAATCTTACCTCTGTTCTCCCAGGCATAAGTGGCCTTCCAAGGAACATCTCAGCCAACAAGCATCCTGCACTCCAGAGATCAATTTCATATCCATAATCAGTCGAACCCAAAAGAAGTTCAGGAGCTCTATACCAAAGTGTCACCACTCGATTAGTGAAAGGCCCTTCAGGTTTTATAGCAAAAGAATTTGCTAGTCCAAAATCTGCAATTTTTAGCACCCCGTTTTTATCTACTAACAAGTTGGAAGGTTTAATGTCTCTATGCATAACTCCTCTCTCATGACAGTGCTGTAGCCCCAGAAGCAGTTGCTGCATATAACACTTGATCTGCATAAAAATCACAATACCAACAACATAAATTACAATAGCATGATGCATCAAAGTTAAAGTTTGGATGGAAATGGAACCTGTTCTTCAGTGAGTTTATCCGTAGGACGAGAGATGATTCTTGTAAGATCAGAGTGCATGTAACGAAAAACAAGATAAAGACTATATTGCATCCTTGATGTTGCAAGTCCTTTGAGTTTGATGACATTGGGATGATCCAGCTTCTGCAGAATCATTATCTCTCTTGCCATAAACTTTATGCTTTCAGGGTCTGATGTGTCAAACCTTACCTTCTTCAAAGCAACAATCTTTCCACTCTCCTTATCTCTGGCTTTGTATACATTGCTATATGTTCCATGCCCCAACTGCAACCGCAAATCACAACTTCAAACAACTACAACTAATCACAAACAGAGCCGACTCAAGGCCAAAACACGTAAAGTCTTTGTTTTAGACCTCAATATCTTTAATACTAATTGTTTTAGGTCTCCAGAACAAAAAGGACTCAATTTTTTTTTAATTCGAATTGATTAGGCCTCCAAGAAACAAAATACATTATTCTTAAATTTGCTTTAGTCTCTCAAATCCTTGAACGGTCGTGATCACAAACTATTGCATACAACACAGCATCATTAGATTTCCATGCAATGAATATGAAGAAACAATGTTGTTCCTCAGAAGAATTCTATCGTTGATTTGGAAATCACAGAATAAATAGAGTGAGATCAGGAATGAAGAAAAAATAATCAACAAGAAATTTTGGGTTGGAGGTGGTATAATGTTTCTTAATTAATTCTTTTTTGTTAAACAAAATGTTAGTAAAAACAATAAATTGATTTACTTCGAATGTGTATTTCATGTAAACTGGACATTACAAACAAACATTTGGCTTTTCATCTTCAAGCCATAATGTCTCCAATTGTTACAAAAACTCAGGCATTATAATGATCATTAATATCCAAAACATAACACACTAACCTCTTGGTTTTTACTCTTGTAAAACATTAAAATATTAATGCTCATAAAAGTTATTAAATAACCCTAAATTTAAGTTTATCCTAACAAATCTCTTCCATAAACTTAAATCCTTTCATCTCCATCTTCCTAATTATTGAACAACACAATAGGCAATGGCTTTGTGAACTTATCAGCAACTTGCATTCACTTCCCACGTGTTCTAATTCCACACTTCCTTCTTTTACTTGTTCTCGAATGAGGTGAAACCGGACATCAAAATGCATCAATATGCTTGTTGCTCTCATGATTAATCGGGTTCTTCGCCAATTCTATGGTCGACATGTTATCAACTCGAATCACATTCCCCTTCTCTTGCTTCACCTTCAGCATGCTTAGAAGGTTCCTGAGCCAAACGACATGACATACACTCCAAGATGCTACAATGTACTCAACTTCGCAGGTTGACAGTGATACAAGATAATGTCGTGTTTTCCATGAAAAAAATGTATCCTACCGTGCTCTTCGATCATCAACATCTCCACACCAGCTGTCATAGTAGCCAATAAGTCAGCAATCATCCAACTTGGTATACAATAGGTTGAGTGACATTGTTCCCCTCACATGCCTTAGTATTCGTTTCAGAGCATTCTAGTGAGAGTACCTCGCCTCTCCCAAATACTTGTTATCCCAACACTTAATATCAAATTTAGTCTTGTATTTGTCAAATACCTTAGATTTCCAATTAGACTTTGATATTTTCCCGCATCAACTCGGTCTCCATCTTCATACTTAGACAATTTTATACTGGGTTCCATTAGAGTGGAAAGTAGGTTACATTTTGTCATTTTGAATTTCTTCAAAATCTCCTCGGCATACCTTTCCTAGGACACAAAGATGCCTTCATTTCCTTGAATGACCTCTAGACCGAGAAAGTACTTCATAAGACCCAGATAGGTCATATCAAACTCCTTCTTCATCACCTCTTTGAATTTTTCAACTAGCTCAGTTTTGCTTCCCATGAAGATTAGATCATCAACGTATAGAACAACAATCATCATATCTCATATTCTTTTTTATGTATAGAGCATGTTCATATGAACATTACTCATACCCATTATTCTTAAAATAAGTATCAATTCTTTCATTCCATGCTTGGGGGACTGCTTCAAGCCATAAAATGCCTTCTTTAATCTCGACACTTTCTCTTCTTCTCCTTTTCGCATGTAGTCGAGTGGTTGTTCAATATATATTTCCTCTTCCAGGACTCCATTGAGAAATGCCAACTTCACATTCATATGTAAGATCGTTCATTTGTGTTGGGCTGCTAAGGAGATCAGCAGCCGAATTATTTCCACCCTCGTCATTGGGGCGAATACCTCGTCATAGTAATTCCTTTCTTTTGCTTGTATCCCTTCCCTACGAGCTGAGTTTTATATCGCTAACTTCTCCTTCAACGTTGTTCTTTTTCTTATACACTCATTTTACACCAATGGGCCAAGCTGATTTGCCACAGTCTTAACCCGAGTTATGTACTTGGCTATGCCCTCCATCTCCTTCATCCTCAAGCTCTCAAACTCACCTCTAAGAGTTTGAAGTCAGACTTGCTTTACTCAATCATCCCCTTTATATTCATTCTTCAATATCTCTCACGCTTCTTTTGAAGATGTAACATTTGTTATCTTTTCAAAGTCGGACTCATCCACATCTTAACAACCTGGACAACCGTCTGTTATTCATTGTTTGTTGGCTCTTGGTACCCATTATTAATTACATCCCACATGTCTTGGGAACTAAGAGCCATCATTTGCATACTCTGGTTGTCATGGTTGGCTTTCTTTGTCAACCGGGACAAGGACACACTGTTTACAAGGTTGGCCATCTCACTCAAGCTTTATCTTTTCTCAAACACTCAGACACTCAGGCTAACTAGCTCTGGTACCAATTTGTTAGCAAAATCACTCTCTTGTGTATAAAATGATTTACTTCATCTATGTATTTCATGTCAACTGCACAATACAACTTATAGGACAAACATTTTTCTTTTCCTCTCCAAGTCATAATGTCTCCAATTATTAAAAAAATACAACAATGATCATTAATATCCAAAACATATCACATTAACATCCTGACTTTTACTCTTCTAAAACATTAAAATATTACTACTCACAAAAGTTGTTGAATAACTCCCAATATAAGTTTACTACAATAATCGCAATTAAAATTAACATGAAAAATTCAGTTACTACAATGAAGATTCTCTTTACATAATGATCTGGCTTTCAATCCAACCACACACGAATTTACTCGAACGTGCTTTTGAAATGTGAACTCTATTAAAACAAAACACAGAAATCAAACGCCTTAAAGAAAGTTTTGAATAAATACTAGAATAAAACATAGCTGCATCTTATAGTACGAATTTGTTAATATTATCAGCTAATTAATCAATGATTCTTACATGCAACTTGTGTTTAGAAAACGAAATGTAGATACGTTACCTTTTATTTACCTTTTTTGTGTAGAAAGTAACAAATACGATCAAGTTTATTCTAATAAAATAGTTGCAGAATTTCTTATTTCCATCCTATAGTAAAATATTTAAAAATCATATACTGATGCATATATATAGTTGATAAAAGTGTAATTAATGTAATAATGCAAATGATAGATAACTTTTTCAAAAGAATCCACACTTAAGAAGAAAAAAGAGATATTATAATTTAGAAGTGTATATCTACCTTTCCAAGTTTTTCATAGGAATCAACACTCTTGGGAACCAAGCTATCCAACACGTTTGGTGGGATATTATCAACTAGCCATTTTGGCCACCCCTCCACAAACTCAGAGTGTGCACCAATATTCTTCTTTTCCTGAGATCTCTGAGGAACATTCTCACCAACCTCATCACTCTTGTTATCGTTTCTAGCAACACCCTTTGCCTCACTATTACTATTATCTCTTTCTATCTTTTCTTTCAACCTGTTTGATGAATGGTCTTTGTTGTGGTTGTGGATCAGTGATTTCGTTGCATCTTCTTTGTTTCGTTTGAACCTTCTCTTAGCGTTCCCATCAGGAGAATATGTGGAGTTAACGCATCCCATATCTAACGATGAACTCAAACTGCAATATTTCTGTTTCCCTCGTAACAAGAGATCACAATATACCATGTAGTAGTATATAAGTACAAACTTAACTAAACACAATAATAATAAAAAAATTATAAAAGTATATGCTAACCAAATTATTAATCTTTTATGCAGATATCCTTATATCCCCTAAATTTAATAAAAAAAGAATTAGCCTTTTAAATTTTGAAAAAGTAAGTTTTTAGTTTTTTTTTAATTGGTGTGAAATCCCTGAGCACTAAACTCAAAAAGAAATCAAACTTTAAAAAAAATGAGGAAATGAACGATATAAAATATAAGAAATTAAATATTTAAATGAATAAAGGGAAAAAATGGTTGATAGAATTACATGGAAAGAGTTTTTGGCCGGCACAAGAGTGAGAATTGAAATATAGGAAGTAACTATGTTGGTGGTGAGGGATCCATAGTTTTCTCCGTCAACAATGATTTTGGTTCAGACTACTCCTTCATCTCCAAAGCTACACCAATTTTTACATTATTTTCCGTCTTTTTATGATGCACACTATTTCTCTATTTTAAAAAATCGTCATTCTTCTGGAATATATGCAATAAATTAAAAAAACATAAACAAGAAAAAAAGATTAATACCACAATAAATTATTTATGCATAAAGTAATGTGTCTTCTAGTTAACAACTTTTTTCGATTTTATCCATCCATCGTTTATTTATTGCATGTGTAACTACCTCTTTTTCATTGAAGCTCCTTGTATAAAAAAACCACAGATCTTTTAGCTGTTGTTAAAAAATACTTCACAATTTTATAATTGTGAACCTTGTGTCAGTTATTTTAATAAGAACAACTGTATTATCTATGAATGCTAACGTAGCTATCTTTCTCAATTTATTTGACTGGTGTGTGTGTTTGTGTGTGCTTGTGTGCGTGTGCTTGTGTGCGTGTAATTTCAGTTGGTAAATTTTAGTAATGTGTATATCATAGATTCTAAGTTTTAAGGTTAATGGTTTTTTAATATAATGAGTTTTTATTTTATAATTTTTGTCTTATGTAATTTTATCCAATTTTCACAAGAAGGAATTAGTAATTGACCTAAAAAAATCAGAAATACTCGATGTTAAACAATTTCTTACATAAAATGATTTTATAATGAGTTTTCATTTTATAATTTTTGTCTATCTAATTTTATCTAATTTTCACAAGCATAATGACATCAACGAAAATGGTAATTGGCCTAGAAAAAATCAGAAACACTCGTTAAACAATTTCTTACAAAAAAAAATTATTTTATAATGAGTTTTCATTTTATAATTTTTGTCGTATATAATTTTATCTAATTTTCACAAACATAATGACATCCGAACGAATTAGTAATTGGCCTGGAGAGTTTTTTTTAGAGATGATAAAATTAAAGAGGATAGTGAAGATGATGAAATTGAAGAAATCTTGAATTAACCTTTGCCTAAAGGTGAATATGTCAATGACTAACTCTTTACAAAGGCAAATTGTTTAACCGCAAATGTTTATGATTTTTTCAATTGTGACTAGAGTAGGGATCACAGAGAAAAGGTTGGAGTGAGAGAGATGAAAGAGAAAGGGTTGAGAGGAATGAGAGATGTGAGTAAGAGTTTGGGGTTTCTTTGTTTTAGTTTTGAGAATGAAAATTATTAAAATACCCTCAACTTTAAAACTTAAAATCCATGATATATAAAGGTATTTTTGTCTACTAAAATCCGATACACATTGCTAAAATGTATCAACTGAAAAACAGGCGTACGCACATTAACAAACCCCATATATGTGTGTGTATATATATATATATATATATATATATATGTGTGTGTGTATATATGTATATATATACACATATGTATATGTATACATATATGTGTATATATATACATATATACACACA